GCCAGCCATATCTGCTACAATTCATGGGAGGGAGGATTGTTGCCAGAACGTATTAAGCAGCAGTTTGGCAGATGATGGAGAGGATATTTAATTAAGTTACAGAGAAACTAGACGAGCTTTCAATCCATTTATAAAAGTGGTTGCAGTTCCCATTTCAAGGCCAGTGAAAGGATGACAAATATAGAGGGCCCTGAGTCTGATCTCATGCATGATGACAAAATCAGGAATAACTCCAGTACACTTCGACTGATGTAAGCTAGAGGAGAATTGGCCATTGGTATTTTGTTATATAAAGTCAAGGCCGAGTACTGCTCTAGGTTATGCCAGGCCCAGGTAAATCTGGAGTGGCTCCAATGAAGCACTCCAGATTTGTACTAGTGTAACAGAGCAGAACTTGACCCTTAAATAGCGAAGGATGGGAGAGCATTCGGAAGAGGATGGTTTCATTTGCGCACATTATTGAACATGCCAAAATATACACAAAGCTGGTTTGAGGCCAACAAGAGTGTGTTGATAATATTTCTTCTACTACAATTAGGACCTGATCTTACAATTCTTGCTCAAATTAGTATTATTATTATCATTCATTGTTTGAATTAAGGCAGCACCTAGAGGTCTCAAATGAGACCAGGACCCTGTTGCGCTAGGTGCTGTACAAACACATAGTGAGAGACAGTCCCCGCCCCAAAGAGTTCAGTGTAAAGTCTCAGTGATGTCAATAGATCATATTCTGCTCTCTCTGCAATGACTGCAATTCTGGAATAATTCCTTTCAAGTCAATGGAATTACACTGTCATAAGGGAGTGCTTCGCAGATACTACATTGACAAGGGCTACTTTAGTTCCTAGACAGATAAATAGATTAGATAGATAGATGGAGTGTATGGGGATAGATAGATTGATAGATGGGGTGTATGGGGTTAGATAGATAGATCTAGTTATTTCTCTTGTGTTCAAGTGTGAAAGTTTGGCCTGCTTTAGATAGGTCTATTATAAATCTATTGTCTCAGTAGTTCTTATATATCTCATCAGCTTAACGGAACGTATTAAAAGTACACAGAAAACCACAGAATGGTATTTTTTTCCAGTATAGGAATCAATGAAGCGCTCTAATAGCAGAAATCACACTGATGAGGCTTGGGGCACCAGTTCAGTAAGGTACTTAAACGTGCTTAATTTGAAACCCATGAGTAGGACCACGCAAATCAATCATCTAAGGACCCTGCTGAATAGCGGGGAAATTAAGATGCTTGTGTCATCAGACATGCCGAAAGGCCAATGCATTCTGAGGTAGAGTTATGCCATCATTGGGCACAATGCTACATTTAACCAGCTTCAGGGCTTGTCTACACTATGGACGCTACAAGGGCAAGGCTATGGTGCCACAGGCATGCTGCTGTAGAGCCATAGTGTAGACACTTCCTACACCGCCAGAAGGGGTTTTCCCATCACTGTAGGAATCCACCTCTCCAGGTGACAGTAGCTAGGTTGATGGAAGTATTCTTCTGCTGCCCTAGCTTATTCTACACCGGGGTTAGGCTGGCACAGACATAGCTTTGTTAATCTATATTTTAAGCGCAGACCAGCCCTTTGTGGTCGATGGTGTGGAGTGCTTGATTTTAGGAAGAATCCTAACAGCATACGATGCACAATTTGCAGGTTTGACACTATTTTCAAAAGCAGTTTTCCAGGGCACTGAGCCCTAGGAATCCACAGGGTTCTCTCCTTACAAGCTGCTGTATGGGAGGAGAATGAGGGGACCCCTGGACTTGACGAGGGACAAATGGGAGGGGAAGGCCTCTCCTGCTGGAGAATCAGTGGTGGACCATTGTACTATCTGGGAAAAGCTCACTGAGCTCATGAGTTTGGGCAGGGAGAACCAAACCCAGGCCCCAGGGAAACAGAAGGTCTCGTATATGGCACAGGGGACCAAGTGATGGTCCTCATCCCAGTGTGGAAGAATAAGCTCCACGTTGCCTGGGATGGGCCCTTTATGAATTGGCCAGTTTATCTCAGGAGGGTATAGAACAGCAATTGGCTTGAGCTGAGGCCTCAGGATCAAACCCCAGTACAATCTTTAAAGCTCCCCGTCCCTATAATCACACGGGAAGCCCCAGCTTCCCAGGACTTGAATGCTGAATTAAACTGGACAGGTCAGTTCATCATGCAGAGCTTAACTGCTCCTCTGCGAAGGTCTGAAATTACCTCTGCCTTGCAAAGATCAGCTCTGGTTTCACTTTCCATTATTCTCCCTGACATCAGGAGGGCACTTGAGCCATGGACTGAAGGCTCCTGGAAAACAATTTTCACAGATAATTATTTCTTAGATGTAGGCAGCTTGCCCGTCCCCTCCTGGGTTTAGTCGTTTTTCTGTCCTGCTTCGTGGAACTAGAGCCCAATCCTGCTCCTACAGTAGTCATGACCAAGAACTCCCAGGGGCTTCAGGAGCTCTTTAACTGGGGGATAAGTGATCTCCAAGACAAAGCATTCCCAATATACTGGGAGATGTAACTGGTAGGTCAATGGTGAGCCCACTGAGATGTTACCAAAGAGTCCTTCGTGAACACCCTGGGATGGTATGGCTCACGAGTGCTAGGACACTGGCTTCGATTGTCCAGTTAGGGATCTTTATCTGAGGGAAGTACCTCTTTGTATCAGTGGAAATACCTGGATGTAGTTAAACTGGTGAAGCCACCTAATGTGGACACATTGAACCTGTGATAAACAATGCAGCTTACTGGGGTAAATCACACTCATGTGAGCCCCATTCTGAACCAGTGCAGTATGTCTACACTAAGGGTGACGTCCTGACCCCCTTGAAGTCAACAGGGGTTTTGCCATTGATTTAGGTGAAGCCAGGATTTCAACTCATGACCCAGATTCTCAAAGGTGTTTAGGCTCCTAATTTCCATTGTAAGCCTTAAATACCGTTGAGAATCAGGGCCCACGTGTTTACACTGGCTTCACTACATGGCTGTACTTATGTGAAAGCAAATTTCCATCGTCTAAAGAAACCATAAGGAAAAACAGCATTGAAACATTTGTTTTAAAGAAAAGCAGAGAACGTTGCATACAGTGAAGCAGAATAACAAGGTCACCTTTGGCACCTCTCTGCCCCTAACTGGATCCACTTGATGTTCAGCTTTCTGGTTATCACCCCAGAGATCATGTAACACAGATTTGTGTGTGTGCATGTGTTTAATTTCTAAAGCCTCGGGGGCCAAATTCAGAGCTGTTGTAAGTGGATGCAATCCCAATGATTTCAGTTCTATCGAAGCTGCTTCTGCAAGAGCTGAATTTCACCCAGTGATTACATATAAACCCAGAATCAATGCCAGGTGGGCACAGAAATACAGATTAAGGTTATGCCTACATGACCCAGCAGTTTGGACTTTGGGGGGAGGGGTGACTTGTGCATGCACTAGCATGCTGTAACTCCCCTATGTGGACACTGTGGGTGCGAACTAAAAGATACCTAATTTGCCTTAATGTTGCCATCTTTAAACAGGACTACGTTAATGGGAACGAGCTACCTGTTAGCCTGTGCCCACAGCATCCACGCAGGGGAGTTACGGCATAGCATGAGAATGTATGCTACAATTCACACCCCCTTTGTCTAAACCATGGAGCTGTGTAGATAGCCCTGAGTTTCCTCCTCCCCACCCCATTTGCTCGCAGAAGCAACATGTGGCCAGATTCTATTCTGTTACAGTTGTGTACATCTGGAATATCTCCACTGAAATCGATAAGCAAAAGGAATACATCTTAACGGGTAGCAGTAGTACACTTTTATCCTCTAAATAGACCAGACCAGGGGTCAGCAACCTTTCAGAAATGGTGTGCCGAGTCTTCATTTATTCACTCTGATTTAAGGTTTTGCGTGCCAGTAATACATTTTAACGTTTTTAGAGGGTCTCTTCCTATAAGTCTATAATATATAACTAAACTATTGTTGTATGTAAAGTAAATAAGGTTTTTAAAATGTTTAAGAAGCTTCATTTAAAATTAAATTAAAATGCAGAGCCCCCCGGACCTGTGGCCAGGACCCGGGCAGTGACAGTGCCGTTGAAAATCAGCTCGCGTGCCGCCTTCGGCACGCGTGCCATAGGTTGCCTACCCCTGGACCAGACGTTACAGAGGGACCTGGAACTCATTGCCATGGAAGAAATTGGGGATTGAACCTGGGACACACAGGTCCAAACACCATTATCATGGGCAAGATCTAAACATCCCATGATGACAAGCAATGCATTGAGCAGCATGGCTGTCCAAAACAACTACACCTGAGATGGCACTGTACCAGTCTGGGAGGAAAGCCTGACCAGTCGGATGCATGTGATAAAGAGGCCACAACACAAAGCCAGAGTGGGAAATGCCTGATTTATCTCAGAAGAGAGACCCGCCATCCCACTGTTAGGTGTTTCAGCCTGTCAGAAATGAATCATGGTGGACACAGTTCAAGAGGAAAACTCTAAAACACCATGTGCAATCACTAGGAAGTTGGAAACAGGAGGGGATTTTTCTTTCCTCTCTTTTAATTTAGCAGTAATAATATCTACAATGCATTGACTTGTAAATTAAGTGAAGATATGAAACTACATTCTTCTTACTGAGATGGGAGATTGTTAGGTTGTTTTATGTTTTCTCTTTTAAAATATCCCCTGAAAGGGAAATAATTTTGACCAACCAAGGAGTCTCTTCCAGAGCAATCTGTGGGGGAACTTCAACAGTAATAACACCTCTTAGCTAGCATGTCTTGTCCATAGACCTCAAAATGCTTTGCAAATGTGGATAAAGTACCATTACCCTGGTTTTACAGATGGGAGAAACTGAGGCACAGGGCTACGGAGTGACTTGTCCAAGGCCACCCAAAGGTGGGTAGCAGAGCTGGGAATAAAACCCATGTCTCTTGACTGCCAGGCTAGTACCCTAACCACTGGATCCCACTGTTTCTCCAGTAGGAGCATATGTATTGTCTATTGTCCAGTACAGATCCACGTGTTATACAGACATATCTGCCTTCACCTCTCCTGCTGTTCCATTGGCTCCATTCAGCCCAGCCACCTCCCTTCCTTCCTCTTCCACCTCCTGTTCCTCTTTTGCTGTCTCTGCTTCCCCACCCCCGCTCAGGAGGGTGGCGCTGGAGAGGTGGCGGAGGAGCCGGCCCTCTTGGAAAGACTGGGCCAGCTCCTTGGCACAGCACGTGGGGGTGTTGGTTTCGTAGGTGCAGTGGAAGCTGTTGTAGTCGACTTCATAAAAGTCTTTCTCAAGGGTGAGGACGGGAGTGAAGCGGTGTCCCCATAGCACCTCCGTGTCCATGTAGGAGCTCCGGGCCTGGCAAGTCATCCCTGCGTCAGGAGAGGAGACAAAGGCATATTAAATGCAAAGCTCTATTGCATGCCCACGCTATCCTGCTACCATTTACAAGTGCTTTGGTGGATTTCCATACCTGCTGGTTCTGGGTCATGGAAAAGGTCTTCTCTTAACGAGCCTCAGAACAGGCTGTAGCACAAAAAGCCGAGTATTCAAACACAGGGAACTGAATGGCCCCATTGCAGCTTCTGCAGACAGCTGGGATGTTTGCAATCCTGAACCTGGGTCTTACAGGGGGATGAGGTTTGATGGCACTAAATATAGGTCAGAGTGGTTCCGGCATGGCCCCGTGCTACATTCCTGTCTCCCCTCACTGCTCTGCTGATGCAGGTCAGTCTTGACCTTCTGGCTAGTCCAGTGCTAGGATTGCACCATCCCCGCAAATACACCTCATCCCTGACCTGCAGTGTTTCCGCTATTCCAGCCCTGAACTCCCCCCGGCTCTGCCAAAACACATCAGACCTGGCTTATGCAGCACCTTGTTAATCTAACTTTGGTTCCCCCGACTGCTCTGTTGAAGTCCCTCAGAGACCTACACAGCCCCCTGCAATTCTAGTTCTCCCTGATCAAACTCAGCTCACCTGCAGCAACACCTGCTCTGCCATTCCACTACAGCACCTGCGTGTGCTAGGCACTGGGTGCCCAGAGCTAGCTACAGGAGCCTGAACCAAAGCCCACCGAAGACAATGGGAGAATTTCCACTGAATGAGACTGAAATTTGTCAAGCTTGTTCTCAGCCCAAGGACGAGTGCTTATTTTACATATTTATATATTTTGGGGAAGTCTGAAGAAAATCCTTTCAAGGGCAAAAATTCAGTCTTGGAATAAATGAAATCACCTGCCTATTACAAGGCTGAATTCTGTCCCAAATATTTGCCTTTTGTTTGGATTACCCGGGTCATGCTTCTGGAATTCATTCCAGGGAGATGTGGAAAGTTTGACTTCCCGACACTCTCATTGGTGAGTGAGAGAGAGGCCTGCCTGGAATGAGATCAAAACATCTATTCAATTCAATTCCAAGCCAACGCTCCCCGATCTCTTTCTCACAACCCAAAGGACATTACCATAAGATGAAGGCTGTGACGGGGGAAAATGTTAGTGCCAGGGCATTTATGGTTCAGGGAGAAATATACCATATGTCCTGGGCACATCAGGGGACAAACAAATTGGGTTAGGAAATGTCCCCATCCTGTCGAGCTCAGGTGTGGGAAGACATAAGGTACCTCTTCTCCCAGAGCTGAGAACAGCCTTGGCTATCATTCTCTCCTCTCACAGCCTCAAGGGTCCTTCTCCTTTGGAAGCGCCTGTGGAATTCACATTAACATGACTGAGCTGTGCCTGTCCATCAGGACCCCATCCGTACTGTTTTATTTGTGGGTATTTTCCGTTGGTTTTCTTTCCCTTCATCCATGGATTGGGCTGCAAAATAGGGCTGGAAATTTCTCACACAATTCTTTGCGAGGAGATTTCCAGAATTACTTGCTTCCAGGCAGGAACAACAAGTACAGTGTTAGTCACAGTATTCTGGCACTTCTGCTTCCTGGACTGGCAGGAACCAGGAAGTGCAGAGGCTGCTGTGAAAAATAAAATGAGGGAGGAGGAAAGTTATCCCAACTGTTCTGAGCTTTGAGGAGAGGGTCTGTTTGAGATCTGGGCAACCATTCAGGAACAGGGCCACCCTTGCTTTATACAAAACAGTCGGCAGATCTCTAGTAACAAGCTTCTTATGGGCAAGCCAGCGAGTGCCAAGACATAGATGCTACCGCACTGCGCCATCAAGGATAGACAGTGCTTGACATTCATTCCCTTATGCTAGGTTGGCTTTCAACAGCAGAAGACTTATGTAGCTCTCAGGTCCTGTCATGCTGCTGAGTACTCACATGCTTTTCTCCAAGAGATGTGGGTCGCTCCACCGTCCCCACCCACCACCAAATAACACTAGCTTCTACCTACCCTCCTTATCCCTTGGTGAGTGGTTTTGTTGAGAGCCATTTTAAAACCTGGTGGTACATATTTGAGATGCCAGGACTGGCTCAAAGGTACCTTTTACATATCTAGCACCTCATGCTGGATTTTGATTTCAATGGGAGTTAGGTACCTAAATACCCTTGAGAATCTGGGCTTTAGAGGGCTGAAATTGGATCTAAAATGAGCAATGCTCCTCCTCGGACATAACTAGAATCCACTAAAGTACATAAATGCTTCCGCCGGGCTCCAAATGCCCGGAAATGGTAGTGGGAGAAAAGGGCATTTTGTCCCTCGCAGGATTAGGCACTATTAGTGGATGAGCCATCTCCTAGCATGGCTTTCCCACTGCTGAGCACTGTGTTCTATAATAAAATCTCAGAGCTCTTTGAATCATAGAAATGTAGGGCTCAAAGGATCTCAAGAGGTCATCTAGGCCAGCCCCCCGGTGCTAAGCTTGGACAAAGTAAGCCTAGACTATCCCTGGCAGGTGTTTGTCCAACCTGTTCTTAAAATCTTCCAAGGATGGGGATGCCATAGCCTTCCTTGGAAGTCTATTCCAGACCTTAGCTACCCTTATAGTTCAAAAGATTTTGCTAATATCTAACCTAAATCACCTGTGCTGCAGATTAAGCCCATTACTTCTTGTCCTACCTTCACTGGACATAGGGAGGACAATGATCAACTGTTCTCCATAACAGCCCTCACTGTACTTAAAGACTGTTCTTAGGTCCCCCACAATGTTCTGTTCTCAAGGCTAACCATGCCCAGATTTTTTAACCTTTCCTCATAAGTCAGGTTTTCTAAACCTTTGATCATTTGTGTTGCTCTTCTGTGGACTCTCTCCAATTTGTCCCCATCTTTCCTAAAGTGTGGTGCCCAGAATTGGACACAGTACTCCAGCTGAGTCCTCACCAGTGCTGAGTAAAGTAGGACAATTACCTCCTGTGTCTTACATTCAACACTCTGTTAGAATCATAGAATATCAGGGTTGGAAGGGACCTCAGGAGATCATCTAGTCTAACCCCCTGCTTAAAGCAGGACGAATCCCCAATTAAATCATCCAACAGATTTTTGCCCCATATCCCTAAATGGCCCCCTCACTGATTGAACTCACAACCCTGGGTTTAGCAGGCCAATGCTCAAACTACTGAGCTATCCCTCCCCGTTATTAGAACCCAGAATATTAGCCTTTTTTGCAACTGCATTACATTGTTGATTTATATGCAATTTGTGATCCACTATAACCCCCAGATCCTTTTCAGCAGTACGACCACCTAGCCAATTATTCCCCATTTTGTTGTGCATTTGTTTTTTCCTTCCTAAGTGTAGTACTTTGTACTTGTCTTTACTGAATTTCATCTTGTTGAATTCAGACCAATTCTACAATTTTTCAAGGTTGTTTTAAATTCTAATCCTGTCCTCCAAAGTGCTTGTCCCTTGGTGTCATCTACAGATTTTATAAGCATACTCTCCATTCCATTATCCAAGTCATTAATGAAAATATTGAATAGTACCAGACCCAGGACTGACCTCTGTGGGACGCCACTTGATACGTCTTCCCAGTTTGACCATTGATAACTACTCTTTGAATATGATCTTTTAACCAGTTGTGCACCCACCTTATAGTAATTTCATCTAGACCACATTTCCCTAGTTTGCTTATGATCAGATTAGAAGGGAGTCCCCTCTTACTACCAGAGAGAGTCAGCCTCAGACATGTAAAAGGAACTTCTGCCTTGGAATAGCTCCTTTACCTGGGGGAATACCTCACCCTGATCCTGAGCTCCACAGAAACAATCACATTTATCTCCTGCTGTAAGTATTCAATTAAGACAGGAACAATGGAAACGTTTCATCCACCGAGGACTGCATACTGCCGGCTTCCTGCAGTATCTGCTTTTTGTAACCCTAGGGGTGCACAGAGCCAGCACAATAAGACAACTTGCAATCACTCCATAATCTCATTCAGATATTCTTTTTTTTTGCACATGTGCATCGGAATTTAATTGCATGGGGACAGACTGCCTGGCAACCTCTACACCACACAGCAAACAACAGCATTGTCAGGGCTGCATGTTCCCTTAAGTGCTGCTCTCCAGCCTGGCTAATTAATGTGTCTGTAATGGCCCTAGCTAATTATTGCCTCTAGCTAAAAGAAGATGACAGTGAAGGTGCTGAAAACAATAAGCCTTATTTTCATTAAGAGAATGGGGTGCAGCTGCTTTCCGCTCTCACACAATGCGTCCTCGGCCCTGTGCGTGCTGAACATTCAGAATACAACTCTGCAATGGGCAGTGTACCTCGCTGGACCAGTCTCTTTCCAATTCGGCTGTGGTTATTAGTAGAAATCAGCAGTTTCACTTCACGGGCCTTATCTGTAATAAAGACCTAAACCTTCACTGACATGATTACCCACAATGCACTGTGTTCACCTTAGACAAGGACCACAGCCGTTTTGCCATTGTTGTACGTCACCTCTAAAGTATCACTGCTTTCTAAGTAGATAGGCCATAGCCCCCAGTACAGTTGCTTGAAGCACTGGCTCTTGGGAGATTTCAAAAGGCCTTTTGAGCATGCAGAGGAATTGTGGGAGGTGTCAAACTTCCAGAATTCCTTGGGGGGGAAATCCCAGAAGGCCATTGGTGCTGACATAGTTTCCTAGCCCTTGTTCTCAAAATGGAGGGTAATTATGAACTTTTGGATTTAAGAAGTTTCTAGTAAAGCTTTGAGAGAGTAATTTTTTTGCCCTTTTTAATTTTGTTTTGGGGCATTTTGTGACCCAGAAATTTTATTTCAATGAGAAAACTTGAATGAAAAAAATGCTTTGATCAAATGCATGAAAGATTCAAAATGTGGGAAAATTCATTTTCATCTGGAATAAGTTTCAGAAAAAAATACTTTCTAATTTTATTTATTTTTCTGGAACATATGACCATATTTTCCATGGAAATGGTTCACAAATTGTCCTATTTTAAAATGAAAAAAAGTATGCCTAATTTTTAACTGC